TTGACTACAGACTTTAATAAAATTTTATCAGACAATTATTTTAATTTGTATGATTTTATTTACTACTGTAAATATTGTTTGCTTGGTATTTATTTTGTGTTTGTGTACTCTTTTTTTTTTTTTTATCGTAACTCCCTGAAGAAAGTCTTTTGGATACTGAACACATGACTGGTATTATCTTGTATTTTAAAATTATAGTCTTGGAAACCTGCATTTTCTTTAACACTATTTAAGAAATTATAAGCATTATAACATGTGCTTACACAAGTGATTTGTGTTTTTACTATAGTAAACTATAGTCACCCTTAGTGTACATGTTTTGAAGTACTTGTAAATATTCCTATGGTCTTAATGTAAATGCTGCAATGGACTTTGTATTTAAAATCTTTATTGCACAGTATTTCAGCCATGATTATAGTACAACTTGTTGGTTTTGTTTTAAACGTAGTAAAACATGGTTATGTGTGATAAAAGTATGTTAATCTATTTGGATGTTTGTGAAAAATATTAATAAATCTTCAACTGTTATTGAGAGTGGTGTGTCGTGTTTATTATAAATAAGCAGCTGCTGCAGCTAGTGGTCCATAAGTATGGAGCAAAACGCCTGAGAACAGCGCCTCCGCGGAGCGGCCGGCATTTCCGGTTGCGTCGTCCTAACATCGGCCGGACAGCGTTTCCGATCATTTGCCGACGTCGCGGCGACATTTTGCCAATTAGCAAACGCTCCCTGAGCGACATCGCGCCGATGGAATTTTGAAAGTCGGCACGACGTCGGCCCAACGTATGTGTGCTGTCTGGGTTCTTTTTGCACATCTTATTCCTGCATGTTTTTGCTTCATTTTTGCTTCAAAATTCAAACGGTTTTAAATGGTGTGAAGTAAACAGAATTATTTTTTTCCCTATACTGTAAGTTCCTTATGCCAAATGTATCTTCAGGCCAAACAAACTCAAAGATTTTAGGAATGAGAAGATGATATGAAGATTGGACTTTGCATCACAAAAAGTAGAAAAAGACTTACGTAACAGCGATGACAACTTCTTCAGTTGTAACTGGTTGTGTCCGTGAACGGTCCTGTGCTCGTCTGAGTCTTCGCTCAACGGCAGCATTACGTGACCGAGGTTTGGGCACAGTTCCATCCGAAGTCTTCTCCAGCTCCTGCAAAACAATAACACAAGTAAACAAAGGGGGAAAAAGCTCTTTTATACAACATTCACTCAGTCATTTCTTCATTTTCCTTCGGCTTAGTCTTAGGCTTTATTAATCAGGGGTTGCCTCAGCAGAAAGAACCGCCAACCTATCCAGCATTTGTTTTACGCAGCGGATGCCCTTGCAGCCACAACCTAGCACTGGGAAACACCCATACACTCTTGCCTTCATATACAATATTGCCTTTTTGGTTTATTCAATTCACCTATAGCACATGTCTTTGGACTGTGGGGGGAAACCAGAGCACCCAGATGAAACCCATGCAAACTCAGTGAGAACATGCAAAGTCCACACAGAAACGCCAACTGACACACCTGGGGCTCAAACTAGTGATCTTCTTGCTGAGAAGACCCCACATTTACTCATTATTAATGTTCGTTTATTAACAA